GGTGCCCTAATACCCTCTGTACAGAGAGGCTTTTGCCCAGCAGTGACACTTATAGGCTTTTTTTGTGAAAAGTTGTTCACAGCGGTTCACTTGATGTTTTATTTTATTTTATTTATTTAGGCTTACCAACTAAATACATACAGAACAATATTAATAAAGATTTACAGGTACCAACGGAATTATACAATATATGTATTTAACTTAAAGGTATGCACATTTAATGTTACATCTTAAGTGCAGAGACAAGCACTATAAAAATTTAATGTCAAGATAGAGAATTTAAAAACTTTCTTTTTACTCCTTGGGATGAATTAAATTCAATAAGAGTAAGCTATAAAATCTCAGTAAAATTTTTAGCTCGCTTCTTCTAGCGAACGTAAACTTTTTTCTCTTTGGGAGGGGATATAAAAGAGAAAATACAATTACGTCGGACATTTATCGGTCCTGAATGAACCATTTGAGCTGTTTGTGAAAAGTTTCAGCTATTAACTTCTCAGGAGATTTTTTGTATATTTTTTTTCGTTGCTCGAACGACGTAGTAGGTAAGTACACTGCTGCCGGAAACCTAAACTTAGTAGAACTTTTGTCTCTAATTATCCAATAAATGTACTTCCACTTGCTTCACAGAGCTTACAGCGCACTCAATTTTCGGACATTCAATAAAATCAAATAAATATACCAGGTGGTGAAGAAGGAGACACTCTACCTATCTTTTGATTTTAGACAATTCGAATCCGACATAACACGCCTGCGCCCCGTTAGGGCGAATATGCTAAGGATATGATTATGATAGGCTGGGACTCCACATTCAATGGTTAATTTTTGTGCAATGTATTATACATATAAAACATCTCCTTGAATCATTCTATCTAGTAAAAAAAACCGCATCAAAATCCGTTACGTAGTTTTAAAAATCTAAGCATACATAGAGACAGACAGACGGCGGGACGACTTTGTTTAATATTATGTAGTGATTTACCTTTAGAAATGAAAATCAATTTGCGTAGATTCAATAATCGAAATGTAGGTACAATTTAGCCCTAGTTTCATCCGTCAGCCCAGTAGATTGCAGTCCCCAATGCTTTGGTAGATGAAGACTACGAGCTCTATTTTTGGCGTAGCTTACCTTGGAAGGCGGCTTCGAAGCGCACCGGTTCCTGCGTGGGCGCCCTGGAGACGGCTGAAGTGAGCAGAGCAGCGAGCAATACAGCCAGCGGAGTACCCATGACGCCTCTACGCCGCGTCATCTCCGCCCATGCTCGCGCTCGCCGTACCCCGCTCTGGTGGCAAACGGGAAAACACCGTTATTGACAACAACATAGAAATCTTATGCCCGGTTTCTGAAACACTGATTACTTGACATCGTAGATGTCAAGTAATCAGTGTTTCATCATGTGCTCAGCGGCGAAGGAAAATATCGTGAGGAATCCTTCAATATTTTTTAAATAATAATAAAAAATATTTCAAAGATATCGATTCTCGCATCGGCAAAGCAACCACTACGTTCGGGAGGCTAAGTACAAAGGCTTGGGACAATAAACAGCTCACGATGAAAACGAAAATACATATTTACCAAGCGTGCATCTTAAGCACTGTTTTGTACGAAGCGAAGTCCCGGACTACGTACGCAATACAAGAACGCCGACTGAATACGTTTCATATGCGCTGTCTTCGGAGCATAATGGGCATCACGTGGAAGGATCATGTGAAAAACGAGTCTATTCTAGCCGTCGCACAGCTTCGTAGCGTCGCAGCCATATTAAAAAAGAAGCATTTGAGTTGGCTCCGGCTCTTGAATATAAATCTTATTGTTACCAGCTTTAGCTACTCGACTATTATTTGATCAGTTCCTTTATTGGACAAGTTTCATCATTAAATGGGGAGTACTCAAGCGGAAAGTAAAAAAAACTCACGTACCGCATTTTGATCATTATAAACTGTTACCTACCGTTAATAGGTATATTATCCGCGAAATATTTTGCCCATTAAAATATAAGACATCGAATTATGTAATACCTAAATACCTATTTAAATATAATAAATATTGCTAACATCTGTAGACATACATATATACAGGTTTGTATTGAAGGAGGCTTGGCGTCAGACAGGTCGTAAGAAACCTAGCCAATTAGATTAGCAATATCATTCCAGCTGGGTAGGATAACTCCAGGAGAAAGAGAAAGTAGATTTGTGTACATACAAATAGACTTGAAAGTGGAACTCAATCGGCGGCATTATCATATCCATATTTCGAAGCCATAAGATCAACAGATTCATACTCGTAAGCCTCGTTAGCTCAAATAGAGTTGAAGACAATTTTAGCATAAGTCAAGAAGCACCGTAGTTGAGAGCTCCCGTATCATATGTAAAGTGGACCTGAGTAAACTCCCGCATATAACTTTCAACAGTTCTCGCAACCTATCAGTCGTAATGTGAAAAATCTCGGCTTGCACATTGACGTGACGCTCAGCTGGAATGCTCAGGTAGGTAGCGTCTGTCAAAAAGTCTCAGGGGTCCTACGGTGTCTATATCGGCTCAAAAATTTCTTACCGGCTAAAACGAAGGAATTGCTCGTGCAGACCTTAATTTTCCCATTAATCGACTATGGTGACGTGTGCTACTTCGACCTGAATGCAGATCAACTCAATAAACTCGACCGACTTCTGAATAACTGCATTCGGTTCGTTTTCAATCTTCGCAAGTATGACCATGTATCTACTTACCGTGCTCAACTTCAGTGGCTACCCATACGTCAACGATGCTCTCTAAGAGCACTGACTACTCTATACTCTTTCCTGAACTCTTCTTCTTTTCCGACTTACTTATCCCATCATTTCCAATATCTATGTGCTGTTAGCAATAAAAACCTTCGCTCCTCGCATAATCGTCTACTCGTATGTCCTCCTCACCGTTCTGATTTCATGCATTCTTCCTTCTTTATTCAGTCTATCCTTCTGTGGAATGAGCTACCTCTCAAAATCAGGTTGGCTAAAAGTCGCTTTGTATTTAAAAAAAAAAGCACGTGAGCACATCCTCAAAAACTTGTCGGCAGGTCAACTCCATAGTTAATTGTCAGAATTTATTTATATATATGTATATATGTATTTATAATTGTATGTATACATTTATTTATGTATTTATTTATTGTATATGTATTTATTTATGTATGTATATGAGAGAAGTTTCGAAATAATGTTATTTCATACAAGTGGTTCCATCTATGGTAGCCTCTTAATACTCTTCGACTACTAGCGCCGTGTATATTGTAACAAAGAGTGAACGAGCGAATGTGAATGGCGTACGATCATATCCCTGAGTGAGTAGTTCGGTCCGGCCCAAGTGAATTAACCATCACTAACGTCTGGCGATCGACCGCGCCGGTTGTTGGTTGCACTGATTCTTACGAATAACGACATAATCGACAGCCACGATATCGTACAAGAAATAAATCTACTTCATTCTCCGAAATGTATATATGATTTTATGTATATATTTAGTAAGATATGTATGGTACATACACCTGGTAGTATTTATTATATTTGTACTATAATTAACATGTGTATTTACTTTCATTTACAACAGTTTATATTTTAACAGTGTTTTCTTTTTATTTATTTCTTTTGACATATTTCTGTGCACGTACCGAATCTTCTCTATACCACCCCAAGGTTGACTGGGAGATAATGCCTGTGGCATTAAGTCCGCCTCTGTACAGCTTGTGCATAAAGTATAAATAAATAAATAAATAAGAATATAAGAAACTCTGGAGCTAAAGAATGAAGCGAAAGAAAGAATGAAGCTCATGATAGATCGCGATATCGGTTTACTGCAGATTTCCTTACCCCCTAGGCCCCACCGAGAGGTCTTTGGACTTTGAGTCACAACTGTTTCCATGCAGTAAGGAAGGTGAACTTTGCTATTATTTGAATTTGTTGATAAATTTATCGTGACGCAAATCCGTACAGAATCGAATATGTTATTCAAATGCCGAGTTACGCAACTCGATTGACAGTAAGCCAGTTACAATCGCATGGGCGTCGTTGCGGCTCAAATCCGAGCACGTTCCACTATATTTAGGATTTTTGAACGCAAGAAGGGCTTTCATAAGCTCAGCGATTGAGTTGAGAAATGTGAAAATACGTTTTCATATTCTGCGTAGAATAAAAAACATTGAACGAGTTTTGTGTACGGTATACTTAAACGGACTTAATATGAAAAATCGGGTATAAGCTGCCCAAATGCGAAAATTTTTAAAACGTGAGGGAATTGGTGTTAGAAGCAAAATTGTAGATTGTTTTTATGTGAGAGACACTTAACAAAAGTAAAGTTATACTCTAGTAGTAATTGATTTATACGAATAATGTTGTTGAAAGTTAACAAGCTTTAGAAAATAAAGAAGTTGCCAAGTGTCTCGAAAACGTTTTTCACGTATACAGTGCGATTAATTTTTATTAAAAATGCAGTGTAACTTTGCATTTTCAATTCAAAAATGAAAATTTTTGAAAATTTTTCATCACAAATCAACGTCGTTTACAACATTCAATGACCTACGTGCCGAACAATGTAAAATAATGCAACGGAACCCGGACAAGGAATAAGTTACAAAAGGTATAATAAAGGAAATCTGATGTAATTCAAAGAGAAAACCTTAGGCAGCTAAGACATTCGTATAACCCTCGAGTCTTAATCCGTCCGATTTTGCTTGTAACTGTATCACTGACGGCCATACCACCGTTTTACGGTCCCTCCGTTTATGGGTCTGGATCGATTTTCGATAGGGTTGTCAAAAATACTCTCTCCAATGCTTTCATAACTGAAACAATAAGTCCTAATATCCTATGGTCCTTTTTTACGGGGAAGTAACAGAAGAATCAAAATAAATTAATCACACTTAATAATTTGCACATCAAAATCTTAAAAGTGTTCAACTTATTTAATCCCATGTCGAGGGATTTTGTTTTGTTGTTAACATAAAAGTTGGTATTCATTGCACAGAGAGTATGGAGCATGTGAGGTAAGCGTAGTACAATTTTAAGACATAACATACTATCATAAAAAGCTTTTTAACTTCCTCGTTTTTTATACAGGTTTTCTCAAAATAAATGAAAAAACTAAGATATTAGTATTTTTTACGAAGTCTTCCTTGACCAGTTTCATCATGTTAATCACTTCCATCATGACGGTGTCGCTGTGCGCGCAAATCACAAAAATTTGCTCTCATAATTTTCCAAACGCGCCAAAAAAAAGAATAAATCAAAAAGATTATATATTATTTATTATTTAAATTTGATTAATTGTAGGAGTCTAGAGTGCATTTTATTACGTTAAAATTGACTTTGACATCCCTAGAGCTATTTATTTATTTTGCCAAATGTTGTTAAAACGTGACGTAACGTGACGTAAACGTATATAATGTGGCTCAAAACTTAAACTTTATTCTTTTAAACTCTTTAGACTAAATGGTACTCGGACAAACATTATTTAGAATAGCTCTTTATTGAGGACATTTAATGTTTTTTACTACACAATTTTGTTTTTCTATTCTGTACGTGAACAGAACGTGTTTAACCATTGCTTCCTTTGAAAAAAAAAACATATGACAAACTATTGATTGACTTGACGGTTGACGTCATTACATTTCATCATAATATTGAATTATTGAATATTGATGGATGCAATACAATTCAAATTGCAGATTGCAAAGACTTACAATTATTCTCAATCCACTAAAATGTAAACTTTGCTATGTTATAAGATACTACAATTTGTTGCCATATTATTAGCGCATGATTTGCGTCCACTATTATTTAAAAATGATCAGTATCAGAGAGTTGTTTACGTTTGCCTTTTTTACTTGTTTACTTAATAGCGTGAAGCTTTTAGATAATGGATTGGCTAGAACACCCCCCATGGGATGGATGTCGTGGGGTTATTTCAAGTGCGGCGCCAATTGCACGAAAAATCCTCAAAAATGTCTCGAGTAAGCAAATGCCATTAACTAAATTTACCCTTTTGTTTACGTAAAAGGTAAAGGTTCCTTCATCATCATCATCATCATTTCAGCCTGTTTGAATCCACTGCTGAACATAGGCCTCCCCCATAGACTGCCACGAAGTACTATCCTGAGCCACCTGCATCCTGGTTCCTTATGTATGTTTAATATAGCCATTAAATTATACTTAAATTTCTTTACAAATTAGTTTACATATTTCATTAAAAACAGTTTTAATTAAATTAAATAGTAATATGAAAAAGTGCTACAAAGTAAAAAAGTGTCCTTTTTGAATTGACTTGGTAAATTTAAACAATTAATTCAAGAATTCCCTTATTTAAGGAGAACATTAGAACACTACTTAGTGTAACGGTTATTGTGAAATGAATATATGTCGTACTATCTAGTAAGGATTTTTATTTCACTAATGCTAATATTTTCAGTGAGAATCTTATATTATCAGTAGCAGACTCATTCTACAAAGAAGGCTACCAAGAAGCTGGATATGAATACATAATAATTGATGACTGTTGGTCGGAGCGCACTAGAGGCAAAGACGGTAGACTGGTTGCTGATAGACAGAGGTTCCCAAATGGGATGAAGTATATATCTGATTATGTTAGCCCTCAATTATAAATCATAATAGTTTGTTTTAAAATAGCACTATGCCTTATTGGTTTTTACCATCACAAGTTGGATTTTATGTTTAATTAAATGATTAATTTTTTTTTTTAATTTTAACATATTGTTCTTTAAGCATAAAGCATTGGCTTGTCCTTTAATATTGGAAAGAAACAATCATTGTAATAACTAAGCTTCTTTAGATGTGCATTTCTACACTACAACTATTTTCTTGTTTTGGGGTATTCTCTTAACGGTTCATATGCTCATTGTGGGTTATGTTTAAGAATTTTATTTGAAAATCATACTATTACTACTACTATTATATACTATAACATATTAGTTTTGAATGAACAGTCATACAATCATGGCCCAAATTGCCCACAGACATTTGGTGTTGCCTGAATGTAACATATACATTCATTTCACAGCACAAAGGCTAGTTCCAATTTTTCTCAATGAAGTATTGTTTAAGGGTGCATAATGCATTGCTAGTTCTTTCCTGATAAAATATGACCAAACAATATTGGTTTAACCAATGTTAACAAAAGTTTACAAAGGCAATTTTGGATTACCACACAGAATAAGATTCCATTCTAAAACCTATCAAACATCTACAACTTATTGGAAAATTGTCTAAATCAAAATATATTTTACTTCAACAACAAACAAAGAATTTATAACCAGAGAAAAGCCATTAGTGAACAAAGTTGATGTCAGATTTGCATTTGATTAGGGTTGCATTAATGGCTCAGTAGCGCAGTTTCCAAGATATTGGTTTAGTTGGACTCTCACACAAAAACTGTTGTGTGACCACAGATAATGTTTCGGATCTTGTCCACGTGAAATTTGTGTATGTAAGACATCCTGACAACACAAAGTTATCCGGGATCAAAGAACATAGGTTATAAGGGATCAATGTTTTTGATGGGAAGACTACAATAGTGTCGTAAATTGTGGATTTTAATTGAGAATTGATTGTAACTGTATTTTGTACTTGTTATAAAAATATTAAAATGAAGTGGATTTTGTTGGTACCGTTAATATTTTGAATGCTATATAAAAATTAGCTTAACCACATGTTCAGTATTGATGATTTGTAAAACCTCCTGTTATAATACCATGTTAAAAGCAAAGAAATAAATAATTTTCAACAAAAAAAAACTGACTTCAAACCGAAAACTAAAAAACATTGTTGATAACTATAACATTTGAGGATTGCCCTTGATTTCTCTAGGATGCCATCATCAGATCTGGGTTTCCGTATCAAGGTACCACCCTTGGGATATCCCCTTTCCAACAAAAAAAATAATCATCAAAATCGGTTCCTAAACGACGAAGTTATCCGCGAACACACATAAAAAAAAATAAAAATATATACGGTCGAATTGAGAAACCTCCTTCTTTTTTGAAGTCGGTTAAAAAATAAAAATAGAACTAGGTTGCAGTGGTTGTTGGGGACGTAATACCCAACCACTACCACACGATATACAAAAGGGGTTGCGTTTCCACCCCCAGATCCACGCGCGGGGACTCAAGTTCGGGCTGTACACGAACGTGGCGGATGTCACGTGCATGTATTACCCCGGCTCGCGGGGCCATTTCGAGACGGACGCGATCACTTTCGCCGAATGGGGGGTGGACTATCTCAAGCTCGACGGCTGCTATGTGAACGAAGACTCGCTCGACAGAGGTATGTTTTGCTTTTTTATTTTAGAACACATTTTTACACGTTTGTTAGTCCAAAACTAAGCAACGCTTGTACAATGGGTACTAGATATACTTAAAGATACCTACTTTTTTTTGGAAATTAATAGGTACATACACTGGAAAAACACTATGTTCATCACATAATATTTTATTTATGTGGATAGAACCCGCACTCTCTGGAACAAGAGGTTTACTACCAAAAAAGAAGTAGAGTAGTTTTCAGTTGCTTTTAGACACTTCCAACTGTCGAATCTGACATTCAGTTTGTTGTGTTTAACCGACTGCATGATGCTAAGGGTAATGTGTTTATCAGTATCTCGTATTATCTGATGTTTTTGCTTTCAGTCCCGAGACTATTAAAGCTTCATCTGACGCAGAACCGGTGGGCTAGCCAGAACCCACGGATTTGGGCCCTCCGCTGTGGGTAGGGCCGCGCATGTGCTCATGCGTGCGTTTAACTATGGCGTGTCATCTAAGGGCAATGGAGGTTGCGGTGCGGACCTAGACCCCGATGGCCGTCAACTGAGTTTTTAGCTAATCGGTGGCTGCGGGCGGTGAGAACCGCCCCGGAACGCGGTGTACCTTGTGTACGCGTTGTATTGATCTCGCCGTGCTCGGAGGCGAAGGCGAACTAATGTGTTTGTTTTTAAATTTAGTATGCACTATTATAGTATGTATGCGACAACCAGACGTCATATTGTGAAAAAGATAATGTATAATAGCTTCGATAGAAATGTTCAATTCAAACAGCTTTTACATAATCGGGTTTTTTTGAATTTTACCTAGCTTTAATGCTAGGTACTTGTTTAAAGAACTTAGTTATGCATAAAATGTGTAATGGAAAAGTGTAGTTGTAAAAATAGGAATTTTAAAATACGATGATCGAAAACGATTTCTTTTTTATTTATGGATATAAAAATACTATTTGAAATTGTCATATGTGAGATGATATGAAACCAGCATCAGTGTTTTAAACTGCATATGAATAGGTGAATTAAAAAGGTATGGCATATAAAAGTTTTCAAGCTGAACGATCAAACTACGTTGATTATTTTTTTTTATAATTCTAATTCCATTTAAGAGATTTCGTATTTTCCGATATAACGGTTTCTCATTTGCTACAGTCTTTCTTTGATGTACCGTAGTGACTTATGATGATTGATAGTTCAGTGATAAATTTGACGCGTCACTCGAACTAATCCCACAGAACTTGGAAATATTCTACGTGCATTGCGCGTTATTGATTTACTTCCGCGCAATATCTTCTACCGTTGCATAAATGGGCACACTTTTCCAGGGAAGTCACACACACAGCTGGCCATTTTGTCTTGTGGGTGAAGTCACCAGACGCCATTCTCTTCAAGGGTGTTGCAATTGCTACCCTTCGAGTTTTGCCGTTACCAACAGACGTTGTTAATACCGTTACGTCAGGAATCACCTTATATGCAACTTTTATACAAAAATATTTGATTTTCTTTCTGACCGTATGCGCGCTCAGTAAACTTGCAAAAGACGTATGCTCATCCGGCTTAAGATAACTAAAATTAGCATTTTGCTTAGGAGCATCTGTGCTAAGACCAAATTCTATGACTTGTTGGAAAATGGATGATCACGACCGAGGAATGCATCATCATCATCCTCCTAACATATGTGGGGTTGGCACAACACTAATCGTGATCTTCACTAAAACACCACTGTGTCGGCCAAGTCTTTACGACCAACCTGAGATCGGGACTATCGTCCGCGGGTCCCAAAATACTCGTCTTGTTGGTTGATATCGGGACCAATTGTTCGCGGGTCTCAAATTACTCGTCCTTTTCGGGAATCGACGTCTCAACCCCGTGGAAGCCGATGCGGTATTATTTCCGGCTCACCACACGTTTGTAGCATACGTGGAGATGGGGCGTTACCTGAACAAGACCGGGAGGCCGATGCTCTACTCCTGCAGTTGGCCGTATTACATCGAGTACATACACAATAAAGTGGTGAGTTTTTGGGCTTCCTTTCAACGTCTTTCTCGAATGTGAACATTTTAATAAAAGGTTTGCAACGCATCTGCAACCGTAAGGGTGTTGCAAATGGCCATGGGCGGAGGTCATTATTTAACATTGCCACCTTCTCATATAAAAAAAAATAGAGGATTGTTTGTGTATGTCTTTCTGGAATGCGGTAGTCATTTAGAGTATTTGTGTGGTAATAAAATATATGCTATAAAATAGTATTGGTGTGGTGGACGGTGGAGACAGACAGACCATCCCACCTTATGGTAAGTAGTGATGGTATCGCTGGTAACAAACGCAATAACTCAGAAGAAGCGCGTACAGTCTTATTCTGAAGACACTCTCACTGCAATAATAACTTTCGCTAATAGACCCCACATTGCAACCGGCTTCCATCCTGGCATTGACGAATATAGTCAAATCTACAAATTTATAAGATTATAAATAAGTGTATCAAATAATACCTCAAAGTTTTCACGCTTTAACATTTTTTATGACAAAAGTTGCCAACCGAGCAGACGGGTCACCTGATGTTAAGTGAATACCGACGCCCATGGACATCTGCTACACCCGAAGGTAACAGATGCGTTGACAACCTTTTGACAATAACTTTAAATTCACCTATCGAACCGTTTCGCTCATTTTATCCCAAGCTTCGATTCAAAATTTCCGATTGCGCATCAATTGCCCACCATTGGCAATTAGCGCGTTACAACCAGGCGGATCTAGATATACCTACGCACGACGCTAATCGCATCGCGTTCCGACAGAATTGGAGAGAATCCCAATTTCCATCAACGGGTACAGAAGAAATTCCCGGGAAGAATTCTAATCGTTAAACGGCCTCCACTTGTACGTATTCGGAGGAAACAACACTTCTCTCGATGCGTACTTTTCCGGCCGATTTCAATATTCAATTTACAGATAGATTTGGTTACTTGAGATAAAATATTGACATAAGTATTATGGAGTTAAGTATTATCCTGCTTGCAACTCTAAGATTTACATATCATTGTAACTTCTCCCTATAATTTCAATTGAATTAATTTTAAATTTTGTGTTTTTAGTGAATATAGTAACTTAGCTGCGAGTTAATAATTCTAATTCGTTATTATATCAATATTGTTTATTATTTCGGCAGCTGTCAATGCGAAGATAACGATCTCAAATTTAAATTTAAGTTTATTTTCTCTTTGCCCTCTTTCAACTGCGCACTGCTATATTTGTTTATTCAATATCATAATACCTATTATAAATACCTATCGCTAGTACGTGGGCGGCGGTTATCACTTAACATCATGTGAACCGCCAGCTCGTTAGCCACTTTCTCACAAAAAAAAAAGATGAAATATTGAAACCGGTCGTTAGTTATAGAAATTGCATGCCTATAAGAAGAGAAGGGTTTTGTTTATTTAATAATCAAAAATTGCCAAAAGACGTATTTAATGCTGCATGTCCCGATTTCGCATCATGAATAAGTGTTTGTATTATTTTGTGGAAGCCAAAATAACGTCCAGCACTTCATGGCAAGTCATCTGCAACTCATTTCAATGAACAGGTGAAACGCTTTTCTCCTCTGCCGCTATATCTAATAAAAGCCAAATAAAGCTAGAATTACAAAAAAACCGTTGACTTAAAACCACCCTTTACACTCCGAGCTCCACAATCGTCTAATTAAAGCGATTGAGCGTTTAATTTATTAAAAAAATTACACAGCCTCCGACGGAGGTATTACGGGCCAGCCCGCAGAGCTTAATTAACCTCGCCCCACTTGTGGACACTTGAATTTATGCCCTGATATTACTTCGCGCAAACTGATACTATCGTAAAACTATTAACTAACGTGTACCAAAGCTACGTTGGAAGTGTATTATATGTAACGCGTACGAGTTTTTAATAAACCATTAGATTTTAACTCAAACGGAGTACAAATAGCTTAGTGACGAGCTTACCAAGTTCAGTTGTAAACTATATTTTATACTTTCATCTTTTGAGTACTATGCCAGAGTTTGTCGTATTAAAAAATATCATGTGTTCTTTAGTTGTACTATTTCATATGATAATGATTTCTTAAAGATTTGCTCCAAATTAATATTGTTGTAATAGAATGGAATGATCGGCAAATGAAATATAACTTTCTTCCTAGATATATACAACTTTTGTTGATTTATTTATCTTTTTAATTGACCATGTTCATGGTATATTTTGTGTGGTACAATTTTAATTTCGCTAACAGTTCTACTCGTATCACCACAAAGCACGCAGACCTTACATTAAAATTACTATACTGACTACCGATATAAATAAAATATACGACAATACATGCGCGTACATATCTCCCGAGACGACTAACCCTTTACGGCCGGTTCCAATATTCTATCTATCTGTAGGTTTCTTACTAGCAATAGGTATTTGACTTTAACACCATAATACTTACATCAAAGCTACAATGTTCCGCATCAAAGTTCCGCCGTTAACCGCATACGCCAATCTCCAAAAGAGGGAGTCGTTTCCAACTCTGCCTACCCCATTCAGATGGACTACGGCAAGATCGCGCCGTACTGCAACATGTGGCGGAACTACCACGACGTGAAGACCTCTTGGTGGGCGGTGCGCACCATCATAACGTACTACCAGAGCCACCACTCCCAGTACTCCAAGTACCACGGGCCGGGCCAGTGGTACGACCCCGATATGGTAAGTCATGGCAGAAGGTGGCTCGCGAGCCTGTGCCTGATATTTGGTGGTAACCAAAGTGTTGGCGATGTTTATGATGGCGGTGGTAACCAAAGTTGTGTGAAAACCCTCGTTTTGTTAATATAGGAACCGGGCGTACACGCCTTTTAATACAAAACGTTATGAAAGTCACGAATATATGTAACTAACGGCCGTCCGTTGAATATAGTAACCGGGCATTAATGGTGTTAAGTCCGCCATTATACGCTAACGCTAATATGCAAAAAGTTTTTTTAATGAAATAAATAGTTAATCAGAAATGATTAGAGGAGAGACGAATTTCGCTTTATAATCTGCGAAGCTGTGTTTTCGCTGGCAACACTGTATACCAGATATGACGTTATCTAGTCGAGCAAAGGGACACATGGTCGCATGGAGCAGCGGTCACTTGTTTTTCGGCCGCGTTCCCGGACGGTAATATAACCACTAGTGCTGCTTGTCGTTATAATACTTAATATTCAAGTTCAGAAATAGTTAAATATATTACAATCAAAGTAATAACGTTTGAACTCTTATAGTTGGTCTTCGGTACGGGCGCGTTGACAGAGGGCCAGAGCAGGGTGCAGCTGGTGGTGTACGTGATGCTGTCGGCCCCGTTGCTCCTCAGCTGCAGGATGAGCAGGCTGACCCCTTACGAGAGGGCCCTCCTGCAGAACATGGACCTGATATCCGTTGGCCAGGACCCCCTCGGCCTGATGGCTGAACCGCACAAGGTGAGTGCACACCTCTTTTTTGTGGACATGTAGTGGTGGTTTAGTGTGCACGTGTGGTTTTTGTGCACATGTAGTGGTGCATATGACGATAAGAACACGCCGTCCGCTGCGCTGCACTCCGAAATAACCTGCTTATGAAAGATGGACATTCGACTATATGCATAATTTTTTATGTAAAATTTGACGATTCATAAGAGCGCACAAGCGTATATTTGAATAAATATATTTTTGATTTTGGTTTTGAAAAAAAAAGACCTCAAATGAGGATCCGAAGGCCCCTCGAACGGAATCTCGAACCTCGGCTTGGATCGCAATCGATTGGGACAAGTGCACTCTTGGGAACAACTAGAGTACGCGCGAAGACCATGCTTTTCAACAACCGCCGCGTTGTTGCATCGCGTGAGATTCACGGGGTATTGCTCAATGAGATATTAGGGGAATGTGTAAAGGGGTTGCACCACGCAGCTAGTGTTGCACGAATGGGCGGGCTCGTCCGGACGAGTACCGCGCACAGACACGGACGTTTGAACTTTGAAGGAGATGGTAAGCGGGCGGTATTCGCGATGTTCACTGATAACCGCTACTGACATCTGCAACACCCGTAGGGTTGCTGATGCGCTGCCACCTCTCAATAAAGTGGGCCCCGGCTACACACCAGACGAAACGCAACACTTGCACTTCACGAGCGGTCTCCTGAGAGGTCGTGGTACTTACCCGGACTGACCTGCCCATTCGTGCAACAGCAGAAGCTGTTGCGTGGTGCCACAGTTCGACGTGGAGTGGAATTATTGTTATTATTGTTATCAGCTCATCTGCAACCACTCCAGCGCTGTAGATGTTCATGGGTGGCGATAGTTATTATGTTCATTAAAAAAAAAAAAACAATTGTTCTCACTCCGGGGGCATGCTAAAATTAGCACACTACCTATTAATAAATAATGCATCTAAATTTCATATATATTAAAATAATCTCTATTGACGTTGCAATCAATTAACAGAAGTGTAACAACCAATTTTCTTTCTATCGACCTCGCACCATAGATAATTCTCTCAACCATAGAGTAAATGGACAGAAAAGATGGCGGTTAGACATATATGATGGTACCTAAAGCGGCATTAGGATGCCTATATTCGCATCAGATGCAAATAGCTCGCTTTGAAGTCTGGGACCAGCCATGCCCCGTCGATTTAACACGACGGAAGGTCCTCTTTGACGCTGTAAAGTTGAGTTAGCGGTGCAGTCGTAGCGGTGCGAAGCGAATTTGTACTCTATGTCCAAGTGCTAAGTCATATTTTGCAGCCATCCGACCTCCGTGCTAATGATTTGATTGGGCGGGTGCATATTCGGTGCAACGAAATGGAATTTATACGGTCGATTCAGAAAGGTCTTTAAGATTAGCGATCGAAGTGAAGATGTGTGTTTAATCATTTTGACACGGTCATAGTAGACTATGAGCAGTCGCAAATAGCGAATTATAAGGAAGGCGCCCTGCAGGCCCTTGAAAAAACACTTTAATGACGCTATAAATTAGATTTAATATCGGCAAACAACTCTGACACAGAAAGTTAACGGTGGTAGGACCACGCAGCAGCCTCGGCTGTTGCTCGAATGGGCAAGCCCGTCCGGGTAAGTACCACGACCTCACAGAAGACCGGCGTAAAGTGGAAGTATGACAAATACTTTCGCGTTTCGTATGGTGAGTGAGGTAGCCGGAGCCCAATTTTCAAAAGGTTGTCAACGCATCTGTAACTCTCGGGTGTACAAGCAGATGTCCATGGGCGGCGGTATTCACTTAACATCAGGTGAACCGTCTGCTCGTTTGGCAACTTTTCACATAAAAAAAAAGTAATTCATCGGACCGAGTATGGATATTGAGTCCCCCCACCCGGTTTCTGAAGCACTGATTATCGTAGATGTCAACTAATCAGCTGTCAAATGGCTTTTCAAATTTCCAGAATGATCTTCTTAATGATCAGAATGATCAATTCAAAGAGTTTAACCATCCTTTTGGCAACTCGAATGACATTCGGGCGTTTATATACAGTAAATAAAGCACGGTTTTTACATAATAAGATTTCTGACGTGTTCAATGTCAGTCTTTTCTGTGAATTGTACATTACAACTAAACGATTTTTTTTTTGTATTTTATATATTCTTCATTTACACACCGAGCCGTGATAGCTCGGTGTCCGGTCACTCGCCTTAAATCAATTTACTCGAGCAACCTGAGTTCGATCCCCGGTGCCGGCACCGATGAAATTGTTATTTTTAAGTTTTGTATGTATTCATTTGTTTTTAGACCGTGAATAAACGTTTCTTCTTCTTCTTCTTCATGTGCTGAATTACCACGTGCTCAGCGGTGAAGGAAAACATCGTGAGGAAACCTGCATATTATCGAAATAATTACAAAAAAAATATTTCGAAGATATGTGAAATTCGTCAATCCGCACTGGGGTCGCATGGTGGACGAGGCCCTGATACCCTCTGTATAGAGGAGGCCTTTGTACTGACAAAGCAGTGGGACTTGTATAGCTTGATACTTTACTTTTACGTATTATGTATATACTATGTCATTGTACAATAGAAATCTATCTATATAAAAGTATTGAGGCTTTTCTAAGTTTATCCATTTTTTAAATTAAATTCTAGACATAAATAATGTTATATAAAAAAATGATAAATATTTAAAATCACTCGTAATTAATTAATTTCATTTTAACTCGTCTCAAAAAGTGCGTGATTCAAATTATGGTTTAAATTATGTGCAATTTGTGGTTTGTTTTCTTTTAGTTCACCGACGCGATAACGCTTTGGGTGAAACGCCATTTACCCATGAAGGGTGACAGATTTCACTCCTTCTCTCTCGCACTAGTCAACCTGGACAACGTCGACGACACCGTCTCCTTCACTCCCGGCGATTACGGATTGAATTCCACGGACGGTTACACCGTGTTGGTGAGTATTTATTAACTGATGTGCGTTTGTGCGTAGCTTTGTATGTATATGTTACCTTTTTTCAAAACCACTTTTGACTGTAAAAATCAGTCAATAATTTTACCTGACGTCGTTAGACAAACACTTGTTTTGATTGATTTTGGCAGTCCATAAGTTGTTTTGACCCAACGCTCTAAAAACCAACTGTTTTTAGTCAAATACACATGTATGGATGTATGGAAAAATAAATTATTTCTCAATTTCAAAATTTTACAGATTTTATCAGTTTTATTGATATCTTCAAAGTGTTAACATCTGAAAGAAATCAAGGGCACGGACATTCCGTTTCTTGTTGTCACACAAATTGCGATATGGCCATGGAACAGCCATCGATGTTGCACGAATGGGCAGGTCCGTCCGGGGAAGTACCACGACCTCATAGAAGTGTTACACTTACGCGTTTCTGGCGAGTGAGGTAGCTAGGGCTCACTTATTTTCTACGGGTGTTGCACTCACTGATCACTTTTACAGTTGTGTACCCTTCGATATAATTATTATAAGGCAACCAAATGATATTACCCGACAAAGTTAATAGTTAAATATTGTGACGGTCAATAAGGCGGGATTTGCAACCAAAGATTAAAATCCCGATTCCTTATGTGCGAATATCACTGTCACATAATTATCTCCGACCGGTGCAGTGAGCGTTTGTCTTTGCTTCTATAAGTTTAGGATGAAATGTAAGTTACATTCCCCTTCGTCATCATCCTCCAGCCCTCGTCCCACAAGTGGGGTAGGCACTACATGTGGATCATGTTGTAAGCGGTTTTGGCTATGTTTTTCACCACCACCTACCTGTCTCACGTCTACCCTCCTTGGGAAACAAACAGCCGGATCCGGAACAATTATCTGTGTGTCTCACAAATGGTTGTCCCGTTTAGGAATCGAACCCACGACCCCCGACGCCGAAGCCAGTACCTTGGCAACTGCGCCACCGAGGCATTACATGTAATTTACTCCCTCATTACCTGCTTTACGTCTTCCGTCCTTTCAGGACGTTCTCAATGGGAAGTTTTTGAGAAATATCACTCTCCGCGATACCATCACCCTGACTGTGCCGCAAGAGGGTAAGGTATCCATTCTTTGTCGCAATTTCACAAGTATATTTTTTTAATTAAGTAACAAAAAAAAACGAAAAAAGATTACCAAGAAACCGGCTAAGAGCGAGTCGGACTTGCGAACGAATAGTTCCGTACCATTGTCTATGGGAGCCCCACTTAAATATTTTTCTATTTTATTTTTAAGTATTTATTGTAATGGCGGCAACGGAAGTACATCATCTGTGATAATTTGAACTGTCTAACTGTCACGGTTCATGAGATATAGCCTGGTGACAGACGGACAGGTAGACATTGGAGCCTTAGTAATAGGGTCCCGTTTTACCCTTTGGGTACGGAACCCTAAAAACGAAGCAGTTACATTTACTTGTAACAATTGTTTAATACATACACAAAATGTAATTTACCTGGGTTGAGCTGAGTGTGAAATGAGGTCTTGTTTCATACGAAATGCTTACTATCCTTACTAATATTATAAAGGCGAAAGATTGTATGTATGGATGTATGTTTGTTACTCTTTCACGCAAATACTACTGAATGGATTTTATTGAAATTTTACAATAATATAGCTTTTACATCAGAATAAGACATAGGCTATAATTTGTATACATATTTTATATATATCTGTCTTTATGTTTGAATGTTACGCCTTGAGCCTATTCTACGCAGACGTAGTCGCGGGCAGCAGCTAGTAAGCAATAAATTAGAGAAGGTGGCTAGCTAGCTGGCGGTTCTTCTGATGTTAAGTGATAGTCACCGCCCGTCGACATTTGCAACATCCATGTGGTTGTAGATGCGTTGCCACCTTCTTCGCCTAGTGAAGTGGATATCACTCATCAGACGAAACGCAGAAGTGTAACACTTTCTCTACACTCCGGTCGTCGTGCAACAGCGAAGACTGTTACGTGTAACAACTGTTAGTAGACGAGGCCGCCTTGTCTTCTTTTATAACCGTTTCACCTATTGTTTCAGATGTAGTCATGTATACAATGTTCGCCTTATGAATTCGTTACTGCTCAACTCAGTAGAAGCGCTAGAGAAGACTTACGCCCGGTCTCTGAAACACTGATCATAGTAGAAGTTAACTAATCAGCTGTCAAATGGCTTTTCGAATCTCATTTGAGCTGCCAAAAGGATGGTTATAATATTTGTAATCGATCATTCTGTTCAATTCAGAGATCACCTGTCAAATGGCTTGACAAATGTCATTTTCATTTGAAAATGTCATTTTCATTTGAAAATGACATTTGTCAGCTGATTAAATAGTTAACTCCTACAACGAGCAGTGTTTCAGAAACCGGGCGTTAGTTTCGTATTATTTATTAGAGTATTAATTGTTTTCTGATAGATATATCATTCCACTGAGTATGTGATATCGGTAAGTGTTAATTGTATAACAGTTCTACAAATAAATGTTGTGATATGTTACATTTCTCTTTTATTTCTTTTTAATAATAAATTAATTATTTCATTTATAATGTGTTCAAATCAATCGCAAAAAGTATGTACGTTTGGATTGTACGTCACTTCAGCGCAGATTTTTATAATGTTATTATACATTATTGTATATATTTAGGGTCTTTAAAACATGTAGAAAAAGTACGAAAAGATTGTCGCCGCTGTGGGAATCGAACCCACGTCTTCGGCATTCGCGGCCTGACGCTCTAGCCACTGAGCTAAACGGCTGATAGCCACAGCGACGATAATCTTAACGCCTTCCTTCTACATTGTTATTTAGCATTTGAAGCAATGCTTGGCGCATCTATTGTTATATCCTTTCCAGCATATAAACAATGTTCAATCTTAAGTGCAGAGATTAGCACTATATACTTATTCATATTGTGTTTATATAATATTCGTAGTGATATTTGTATGTACGAGCGAACATTTACATATTTACCTAAAATACGTAATTGGTAGGAAGTTCGCTGAAATGCAATCTATTACTATCCAAACTAATCCAAGAGTTCCAAGCCCATTCGATAGTTGTGGGAATTGAGTCATATCCAATTTGCGTAGACGTCTACTAACTTCGTGTCGCACATAATTAGCGTGAGATGAATGTAAAGTGATCGAAGGATAGATTCGGAATACATATTATGGACGGCAGAAATATTGAGCAGATTTTAAAACCAGAACACTTCTGGAAAAGGTGGACATTAGAGTTTCGATTGTGGCATTTATCAAGAGATTCTCATACTTTTAACCGATGCAAAATTAATCATTGACTAGTTATGCTGTAATTTATTTTTAATTAAGCACCATTTTAGTTAATAATGTTTTTTTTTATTCTTAATTATTTTCCTTGTCAACGTGTCAATTTATCTGAACCATCTGTTTGGTTGTTGGCCGGAAACATCTTTGGTATTAAGGTAGCCTTGACGGAAACTACAACTAGAGCAGACTAGTTGTCCATGGGCAGATTTAAACATTTACTATAAAAAGGTGCGTGTGTAGAGTATCTAATACCTTTAAACAAGCAATTCTTGTATGTTATATAAATACAGATAAATTAAATTGGAGTGTCTATTTGTAATATTAAAATAACCGCTTTTTACTGAATGCGTATGGATGTATACACGGTACATATAACGAAATATCATTTTTTACAATTTTTGTCTGTCTGTCTGTCTGTTTATTCCGTCCTTATCTCTGAAACGGCTGGACCGATTTGGACGGAACTTTCACTGGCAGATAGCTGATGTAATAATGATTAACTTAGGCTACTTTTATTTTAGATTTATTTTTTATTTAAAATTCCACGCGGACGAAATCGCGGGCACAGCTAGTATATGTATATAATCTGAATCTCGGAAACTGCTCCAACGGTTTTTATGACATTTAGTATTCGGGGGTGATAAATCGATTCAGCTAGTGTTATGTGACAAGAAAAACTCCATTGACTATATATATTTCAAATTCGTAAGTTTAATAAATTAAGAATAAAGAATATACATATGTATATCACAAAACAAGAATGTGAGACATTTTTATCATATTTAAAACACATTGCCCTTGCTGTAAGACAACATTATACTTCGTTGTAAAGACATTTTTCGAACATAAATTACACGCAGACAAACACCCTGATTTCGAAACGATTTTCTGCGGGTCACAAATAGTCGTCCTTTGTGGGAATCCAACCCACTAAAGGTTGCAACGCATTCGCAAACCAATTTTTTTTTGCAATTTTTTCTGCAAATTTTAAAGTCGGAAATATATAATGCAATCAATGGCCGGTATCTTGCCAACTGCGCCACGGAGTGATCCATATATAAATCTATAGGGCGATGGAAGCGTATCTTTACTTGGCTCGCGGGGTCTCAGCTCAGGTAGAAATGTGGAAAGTGAAGAAATATATCGATATTTATAAAATTATCAATATCGGCGATTTTCTCTCTAGGCCCCGCTGTCCAAAAAAGTTATAATAAATATTTTACACCTACGGACTCGGTGCCGGATTCGAATTTGAAAAAAATTACGTAATCAATACGATTTCGATATTGTTTTATATCGATGTATAAAATCAAAAATATGGACATTTTTTCGACATCCCTAGTCTCAGGTTATCGACCGTATCACCCGCCTCCGCATGGTCTACCACCCCTAAGACAGTCATCCTCATTCCGCGCGAGGGTTGGGGAGAAGAGGGGTGGGAGCCTAAACGCTCGTGACTAATATCATAACGAAATGAACACGAGACGACTCATAAACGTGCCGCTTTACAAAATCGCAACTAATTGCGTTAGTCGGCGGCAGTGTGGGAAACGAGTGGCGTTGATGCTTCATTATATATTTCCGACGATGAAATTTGCAGAAAAAGGAACGGAAAGTTTTTCGCCGCTGTGGGAATCGAACCCACGACTTCGGGTTTAGCGCCCTGACTCTCTAGCCCCTAAGCTAAACGGCTGATTATTTGCCATATCGACGAAATTCTCAACGTCCTTTATCTACATTGTTTTATAAGCATTTGATTTTCAAATTTGATTGTTTCAAATACTTAAAAATTGCTTGGTGCATCCATACTTATATTTTCTTGCATCCATACTTTTATTTCCTTTCCAGCATACAAACAATTTCGAATATCGTTTTACAACGATAATTCGAACGAGAGATGTCGCCATTGCTTTTTAGAAATTTAAATTTTTATACTTAGTGCTAATCTCTGCACGTAAAAATAGACATTAAAATTTGTAGAAAAAACTCCGACGTGTTTTTTTCGTGCTAACCGAAGGTCGGCGTGAAATGTTTTCTCTTATTAAACAAGTACATTTTAATAAGAAAAAGGAACAAAATCAACTTCTAATATCTTACCCAGAAATTCCATTTGATTTTGAGATACGTAAATTAAACCGAATTCAATGTAAAATAAATTTTTATGACTTTATAAATAACGGAATTCCTTGGACATAAACAAGATAAAATCACACATAAAAATATAAAATCGAATTTTAAACCTTATTTTTTTAAGTCGGTTGAAGAAACAACACATTCAGTTCGAAAAGATATAACGTACATCTCATTCCGCAACGATTTATTCCTAAGCACTCTGTTAGTGTCCGTTCGCACAGATTAAAAATGAGAATCGCCATTTCTCGGCGCATTATTCTCCCCGTGGCCGCGGCAGCGCTCCTGTTAAATTAAAAAAGACTTGCTAAGTGCCTATTCACTTTAATATCGCCATTTACCAGAGCACTCTTCCTTGGTACTATAGACTTTGTGCGCAATGCAATTATTTCAATTAAAGGTGACAAAATGATAACATAGTTAATGCGGCCTGTTTTAAATGCATCCGACTTTCCGTTGCGTGCCCCTACTATAGTAGGGCCACACAACAATCTTCGACTACATATTCTAGCGCGTAATAAAAATCCGTAGATCATTGGTCAGTGAATGCAGGTTTCACTTGATTCCAGCAGGCGAGTACTTTTTATTCCTACTTTTCTTCTGATATTATAAACTTTTTTTCATCCAGGATATTACAAACTTTTTTTATCCGTCATTCTATGCCCTTAATTTGAGCCTGACAAGCGAAAACGCGAGCAAAGCTAGTCCCAAACATCAATTTAGACAACGCTTATGAATTTCGAATATTGGTTGAGCAAGATGCACAAAAGATTCACTTTAAGCCTTTAGTACACGTACATTGGATTAAAGGCGTTTGCTATAAAATGAACATGGCAAAGTGCCAGCTCAGAGTACAGTCGCGTGCAATTGTAACAGGACCGTTTTGGACCCTACACTAATAGTGTTAAGACCTAAGTTTGAAACACATGCCACAATGTACAGTGTACTTTTCGAGGATTGTATGTGAAACGGGGGACAAACGTTTGATCTTGTAAAATAAGGATTTTTATTTACACAAATTCCAAACAGATAAAATGAGGTTTTTCACTTTGACGCGATCAACAGTCAGCGAATCATAATATGTCGCCTCTTCGGGAATCAAACCCACCTCGTCCGAATCCTCAGCAAGACGCTTTAACCAAAAGTAAACCGGCTGACTGGCACGCCGACGAAAATCTTAATGTATTTTATATCGAGCATTGCTTGTCGCATCTATTATTATTATTTTACAATACGCTTGATATTTGAACAGATTAATACATATATTTTACAGGACATTTAATAGTCTAACAGAGTGTAACGAAAAAAGTATCTTGGAACTTGTTGAATAAGCCTATCTGATGTGTAATTCTTTCGAAGCCTCATTGGACAAGGCAGCATTACATTTTCCCATGTCTACACGGTTAATCCTCTTAATACGACCGAATACAAAAGCATACTGTTTTGACGTCCTAATTCCATTCAGGGGCGTGATATTCCGCAGCCAAAGCTGAAAGGCTGCCCTAACAAGGGCCTTCAGACAAATACAAACGCAGTCAAGGGTTCGCTGTCGAGAGCAGACGGCGCCATCTTTTGTTCAAAAGCGCAAATTGAAATGATGACGTGGTAACGCTCGTAATTAAGAGGGCAGACTCACGACCGTCTACAGAAGTGA